TCAAGAATGGAAAGGAGCAAGTGCTTGCTGTACGGTGGAAAAGTTACTGAGGAGTTTCTCCACAGCCATCTTGGACGTGACCTCCTCTTGCAATTTCCTCTGCAACTCCTCCATGCGCGTCAGCAGGTTTGACTAGCGGCACGTCAACCAGGGCAAGCAGGCAAACACACAAGTTACCGTTCTCCCTCTCATGCTCTGAACCCTCCATGCTCCGAAGGCGAGGAACAAGCTCCAGCTGATGAGAGTCAGCAGGTAGCGAGAGGGAATTGAGGGGAAAGGAGGAACCTGTCGGACGAGCGAGTCTTGAGGACGAAGAAGAGGAGGAGCGAGTGGAGGTGTGTCGGAAGTTCGAGGTCGGCGACGATGCTGGAGAGTTTTGAGCGCCAGCCTTGCTCATCGAGAGTCAGAGGATCGAGAGCAAGGATGCCCTCAGCAGCCGCGAAGGTCTTGTGGTGGGTCTTCCAGGCAAGGAAGGTAGCAGAGAGGGCAGGGAGGCAGCCTCTATCTACCCGACCACTTGAGGCTGAAGGAGGAGCCGTTGAGGACGACCCCCCACTCTTGACAACCTCCTCCAACCAGCGCCATCGTTCAACGAAGTTTCTCCATGCTCGGAGGGTCTTGCGAACCATGAGAACACTGCCGATGCTCCTGATGTCGAGGACCAAGTCATGCCAGGTCTCGAATGAAGAGGAGAGGAGAGTTTTGCCCCTCCACCCCCGCAGCTTCACCATGCCCATCCCCTTCCTCACAGAATGACTCGTCCCTTCCCTCCACTCCCTCCAGGCTCTCCTCTTGCGCGCTGACACCTGCCTCCTCTTCATCTCCACCTCCTCCCAGGTCACCAGCATCCACCGGCTGAACCTCGACTTGACAACACTCGTGCTCGCGCGACTCCTCAACCTACCGGCGATCGCTCGTTTCGCTCTTGACACACCTGCCAATCCGTTCCAGCATGAGAGACATCCCCTGAGGAGGCTCCTCCTCCTCCTTTCCTTCCACAAGGTCTCGGTCCTCTCTCTCGCCTTCCTCATCGCAAAAGCGTTCGTCTCCCGCTCCTCCTCTAGTTTCTCTTGCCACTGCTGCAGCTCCACCACCATGATCGCCTCGAGCTCGGCCATCCTCCTCTCCACGTGGCTCACCAGCGAGCCGGTCTGCATGGCTGACGCGTCAGCTTCGCTCTCTCCCGACATTTCCACCAGCGCTCGTCGCACAGAGCTCTCAAACTCGACGACGTTCCCCCTCAACTCCCTGCACTCCATCGCCACCTCGTCGCACACACTCAGACAACTTTGAAGCAGCTTCGACAGGTGCAGGTGCAAGTTGACCGATGACAGTAACTCATCTTGTAACTTCATCACTTGTGCCTTGAGCGCGTTGTTCTCCAACTTGGTCGCCTGTAAATCATCCACCAGCGGCCCATGAACCCCATGATCGTCCGACCTGCGAACAAACTTCACATGCCGGGACCTCAGCTCATGGCATCACAACCATCCCGACATGGCGGCGCTCAGGGCTGTCCGGCATATCTGATACCTCTCCTCAGCTTCCCTGGCCTGTCCCAGCGCCTCCTCTATTCTCTTCTCCGCTTCCTGCAGGCGACCCTCCGTCTGCTCCACCTGCGCCTGCAAACTTGCACACCGTTGGATCTTCTTCATCCTCTCGCAAGGAGTTACCTCGTAACCAGCTCGTCTCGTCCGAGGAAGCTCAAGATAGAAGTCGGATCCATGGTTTTGAGTTCAACTTATCATAAACATGCACGATGGCAAGGACGAGGCAAGGAACAACAGTCTCTATGAGCCCCTATCCTCCTCGTCTTCGTTCTCCTCGTCCTCATCTTCTTTCTCCTCGTCCTCTTCTTGCTTCTCCTCCCACCCTCTTCTCCATCTCTCACCCTAACACAGGTTATCCCCCTGTCGCAAAATTGATCTCTTTGACAAGTTTGTTTCGCTCGCCAAGGAGCTCGCGGGAGGCCAGGGGTATGCAGGTCTATCAGTTTTATTATGACAAGACTTGGGAAAACTGCTAAGAGGAGGTGGGGGCAAACCAGTGGACGACGCACGGTTCCTTGGGCCCCCTGTACAGCACCTGCGATCAAAGTGAGAGGGCTGGCGCTAAGGCCATGGCGGCTGCCTTGACTTACATCGCCTGAGGGCAGCTCAGTGACTGTTGTCTTCTCTCCATGCACGTCCTGCTGTACTCGGACGTTCTTGGACCTCCAATGATGAATCTCCTGCCATAGAGTTCTCAGCGCAAGGCGGCTCAGTAGGGCACTTACGTGGACGGAGGCTGCATATGAGGACGGGAACCATCCTTCGGCTCCCCAGCCAGTGTTGAGGTCCTTCTGAAAGTACCTGAGACAGCTTCTCAGCTCCTGGCAGCTCCGCAAACATCCTCTGTCACCTCGTCCCCGATCTATCCATAACGACCTTGCCGAAGTTCCAGCCCTGGTGCCCCCTGACGATGCACGCTCAGCAAGAGTGCACTCTGACAGTGACAGGACGGCAACTCACAGCCTGAGGACAACAAGGATGTCCCCGGACGAGGCTCGAAGTTGAGAAGACTTCCCCTCCTCCCCATTGCTCACCAGGTCCTCAGAGAAATCGCGAACCACCTGAGGCGACCTGGGTCAGAGGCATCGGGCGCGAGCTCGAGCACCTGGACAAGGATGATGTCCTTTCTCATGTGAGCTTGCAACCCGAGTTTCTGCCATGGCCGTCAGAGCAGCGCGCCAGCTCGACCTCGCCAGCGCACCTGCACCAGGGGAACCATCTCCTTGGACACTGACTGCATGATCATGGCGTCGCCGATCTCCGCGTCTTTCTTGAGGCAGTTGCCGATCACTTGCCCGCTGATCTTAGAGATGATCTGAACCCTCTGGCTGTTGACCTGCACGTTGAAGTGCTCCCGTGCCCAGGGGAAGAAGAACTTGGTACTGCTGTCAAACTCCCACAGAACTTCTCCGCTCTTGTGGTCCTTCAGCAACGCTGGGTCCTTGCGATGTCCGATGAGCTTCAGCGTTCGTCCTTCCCAAGTGAACAGGTCGGAGTGACCAGGTACTTCGACCATCAACGGCTCGATCTCCCCGTAACGGCGGTAGTCAGTCTTCCCGGCGTTGATCAGCCTTCTGTGCAAGTCATACCATCCGTTCTGCTCTGTCCATTCCTTCAACTTGTCGATTGCCGTGCGGATATCCAGACCCGACCCGACGTTAAGCTGTGCCGACTGCTGCGACTTGTTCTTGATCTTCAGCAGGGGCTCCCCAGAGCTCTTGTCCAAGATAAACAGGCAGCCGTTCTCTTTCTTGACCTCCAGGTTGTCTTTTGCCCACGGAAAGCGAAGTTTGGTAGATTTTTCAAGGTCCCAAACAACTTGATTCGTAGACAGATCTATCAACCTTGTCGGGTTCCTCCTGTTTTCTCCTATGAGCTCCAATGATCTACCCCTCCAAGTGAAGATGTTTGCCTTCCCTGGGACCTCCTCCATCTCCCGTTCATAGACCGCGTATTGAGAATAATCTGTCCTTCCAGCACGGAACAATGATTTCTCTACATCTTTCCATCCATTCAATGAGCCCCACTCCAGCAGCTGATTCAGCACCGGACTTCTCTGCTCCTGGAGTACCACAAGCGAATCGTCTGCCTCGTGACTCCCTCCGTCTGAAACAGCTTGCGTCGTCACCTCATCGGTCGCAGCGTTGTCCCTCGGAGAGTTCTCAGGGCTATGGATGAGTACGGACTCAGCATGTACCTTGGAGACATCCTCTATCTCGATACTATGAGACTCGTCGTCATGGCTGACCTCATGGCTGCCTGTCATAGCTGGGACCTGTTTCTCTTCCCTATCCCTTCGAGCCACAACCTTCCCGCTCCTTCGCAGTAGGATCAGACAAGATCTGCCCTCGTATTTACAGACAAAGTGTTTGCGAGCCCATGGAAAGAAGAATTCCGTACAGGCAGCATAGTTCCACAGCATCTCGCCTGTTTCCGAGTCAAGGAGATATTGAGGTAGGTTATTCTGCTGATTTATCCGCAAGACGACTCTTCCTTGCCATAGATATCTTCCAGCAGGGACATCGAGTGGTAAAAGATCTGCTTCAAACCTGTCGAACGAACTGAAGTCCGTCTTCCCAGCGTCCAGCAGCCTTTCTTGCAAATCCTCCCACCCATTGTTTGACAGCCATTCGTGCAACAAAGCCTCGGCATCTTTCTCAGAAACGTTGATGCCATTCGATCTGAGCCTCGATGCAATGTTGTTCTCAGCAACCGGTCTTGATTCTTTGTCCTTCAACTTGCTAGCGCTTGCCATCATTTGAAACCCACTCCCGGCTACACCTCCTACTCCACTTCCCCGAAGGAACCTGCAGGCAGTCTCTGCTCGCTTGACTGCCTCTGTGTTAGTCTTGGCAACCAGCAAGGCTTCAAGAGCAGGAGAGAGTCCTGGGAATGAAAGCAAATTCGCTCGATTTTCTGGATGAGCCGCCAAGTTGCGAACGATGCCAGCAGCTCTCAGCTGACCTTTCATGCTCCCCGAGGTCAGCTCTTCCGTGAGAACATTCAGAGCTTCGAATGAGCTCACGACAGCTGAAGCACAGAGCTTGCTCAGGGTCAGGTTAGAAAGCGCAGCGAGGGCTGATTCCTTGCAGTGAATGCCACCAACCCTCAGCAACATCAATAGCCCACTGATGATCCCTTCCTTGGAGCAGATCACTTCTCTGTTCCTCTCAGTTCTCCATGAAAGATTCCCTATGGCCGCTGCTGCTTTCTGTCGGGCATTGTCGTCGCCCAACTGCAGCGCCACAACAAGAGAAGAGAGGACGTTCGCGCTTCCGATCATCCGTGCACAGCCCTCCTCCTCCAACGCCAGGTGGCGGAAGCACGCGCAGCAGCTGGCTCTTGTCTCATTGTTTCCTTCAACGAGTGCATTGGCGATCACGTCCAACACCCAGGCCTCGGAGGCGATTTGGTACAGGAGCTTCTTATGATGAATCATCTCCCTCAGGCTCTTGGCTGCTACCGCCTGTGCCTGGCCCTGCCTGCCGAGCTGAATGACAACGTCGATGATCTCCTGCGGCAGCTTGCTGCTCGTCACTCCGTTCTTGGTGTGGATCAGAGAGTCTGGACGGTCTTGCCGCGGCCCGTCGTTGGTGATATCGGACAGGCCCAGCATTCTTGCCTCTATCGTACTAGGAGCTGTCCACCTGGAGTTAGCTTGATCTTCAGTGTAACTTTGACCCAACGCAGGACCGGCTGTGATATCAGCAAGAATTTGCACGTCGTCTTGTAGGTCGCTCAGATCAATGGAGGAATCACCATTCATGCTGGTGTTTGGAAAGTTCAACGCTCGTTTGTCTTGCCATCTTCCCACAAAATCTGTGTCATTCCTGGCTTTCAATACATGCTCGGTTCTGGCAGCAGGATTATGAATCGGACGACACATGTCTTCTACAGCTACTTACCGGCTCGAAGCAATTTGAAAGATTTCGGGGCTTCTGTTCACTTCACCAACATCGGAGCCTACCAGCGTAATTAGTTGTTTGTCATTCATTCCTCCTTCTCGTCATCAAGATCAAATCCATCATTTCAGAAGAGCACAAGGTAATAAAGTACAGAATTTCACTCATGAAAAACAAATCAAGCCAGGATGTTGCAACTCTTATGCACAAACATAACCAGTGATGTCTACGTATCCGACTTGTCACACATACGGCAGCTTCCAACGGTTCAGCACACGTCGTCGCACGCAGAGGCAGGGGAGCCTTCGGGGTCTCACCTCTGAAGTTCTCCTGCATCCTTCTCTTCCTTCGCATTTCATCCCATGCGCGACGCGCCACCTGTTGCGCATAAGGCTCGCGGGCCATACCAGCATGCGCCCCGGCCTATCGCATAAGGAACAATATTTTAGTCATATTCCAATGTGTACCCAAAATTCACTACCCCATCTTATCATACCTTCACCACCCCACCTATCCTTACTCTGCATTCTACCCCAACCTCTAGCCTTCATTTACCCATCTTCATGGAGGTTGAATTAACATTCGGTCGCTCTACCCCCTTTTTCCCCAGCAAACTGAACCCTGCTCTATCAGATACCCCACAAAATTATACTCATCACAGGGGTAGTCTCCAATTTCTTTTTTTTGATCTCTAGTCCGTTAGAGAATTGAAGTTACCTTGGTCGGCGAGTCCAATTCGATCATCCCCCACCCACCCCACCCCACCCCACCCCACCCCACTTTTACCCACCCCACTCCCCTGAAACGAAGGCGTCAGCTACAGTACCTGACAGCGTTCCGAAGTCACCCCACACCCCTAGCCACTCGTACCCCCCTCCGCGCCCCCCCGAACCCCGGGCCCACCCACACCAGACACACTTTAAGTTGGCACCAGGTCGTGAAGTCACTCGGTAGTAACCCGGACCTACCGCCTCCTCCCTTGCTTGATACCTCCAGATCCGGCGGGCCCTCCTCACTCCTTCCAATGATTACAGACAGTTCGGGGGGCAGCAGTTGGCAGGATTGGATTTGGTTCTCGGGCCTTGGAGGTTCACGCCGATTGACGGATCAGTCACAGACCCGGCCCGGCTCAATCATCGGATCATCGGATTGTCCGGCCCGGTCCCGGAGGTCGGTCACTGTCTCCCGCCGTGTCGGACTGGTGATCACCCATGTCTGCGGCCTCGGCGCCCCCCCGGAAGTTCCGAGGCTTATCAACTCATCAGTCATTTTTATTGAGTAAATATTGTAGTAGAGTGGTACAAGACGAGATTGTCCTTCAGAGCCTAGAAAAGGTGGGGTGGGGGCTGGTAGCTAGAGGGGGTCATCGTCTCTCCTGGACTCGGCAGGGGTGCCAAGTCCGGTCAAATGTAGGGGTCATGGGTACGGGTGTTTGTATTTGACTAAAAGTTGAAGGGTACAACACAAAATGAGGCGGTTACAGCCTTTCTACGGGGTCGAGCCACCCTGGTGTAATTGAGGGGTGGGTCGAAATTCCACAACTAAGGTGAAGGTGAGATCATGTGGCTTTTCACTTAAGAACTCAATTATGAAATATTCCAGAATAGGGAGCAAGTGGAGACGATGCACTTCTGGGATTAGCGGTGGGGTGCTTCTCACAGAAGGGGTCCACACCATGCAGCCGACGATGGCCACGTGGAGTTCTGATGGTTGAGCCGCGATCGATGAGGCAGCGAGGATGAAGTGGAGCATGCAGGCTGTGCAGGAGCGAGAGGAACATGGCTAGAACAAGATGAGATATGAGGAGAAGAAGAGCTTCAGGTAGACTCCGTACTTGTGGGGCACATGACTGTAACCAAGGAATAGTTGATAGTGTACGAATAGTGAAAGATAGGTATAACAAGCAGAAAACGCTGGTGCGCAAAGCACGGGATCAGTTTTGTCAGAGATTGTTTAATATTTCCAGGTTCCTGAGGTTTGGGAACCTCCGAAATGTGATCAACTGTCCTCTTGTTTAGGTGAAGATAGAATCCTTACACGTGTAGAATTAACTGCTATCCGCTCACACTCTCATCACTGTCATGGACCTGAAACGAGTTCTGCGCAGTATGAATCAGAGTCCGACGTTGACGACGGTGGAGAGGCAGCAAGAGCAGCGGTTCGCGCAAGCCTTTCAAACTCAGTATGTCTCGGTTTCCGGGCCTGTCACGTCGGGTATCTCATCCGGCGCCTTGTTCCATCGGGTACAGGGAGTTCAGAGTATCCCCTTGACCGCCATATCTTCAGCAGTGGCGGTTCCAACTGTAGCTTCAGTCGCTGTTCCTGTGCAGCATCAAGTGGTCGGCGTGCAAGAAGTTCGGCATGTTCAGCCGACCTACGTTCAGCCAGTGCAAGTCACCGAGACGACTCCTGTGCAGATCGTACAGGCTCCTGCCCGCCAAGTGGTTGTGGCCTCTCCGGTACTTGCGAGTTGTGGAGGGCTGACACAAGACTGACTTCTCTTCTAGCCTCCTCCGCCTCCTCCCGAATACGAGTACATCACCAAGCATGTGGAGATTGATCAGCTTGAAGTCGTCCCAGTGGACAAGGAAGTTGTGTCGTACGATGTTGTTCCGACAGATAAGATTGTTGAGAATGAGCGACCACGGGAGGTGTCACAAGTTTTCAACACTCAAGTTCCACAGTACATCACCAGGACCATGACGATTGAAGTTCCTGTAAGCCTTTCCTCTTGTCATCTTCCAACCTCCTGACACTGGCGTTCCGATGGCGTAGCAACCCCGAGAAGTTCGAATGGATAAGATTGTAAGTTCAGACTCCCCTCTGCTGGCTCATTCCCTCACGCGCCTGTCAGGTCAAGAACGAAGTGCTCAAGGAAGTTGCAAGAGAGAGGGTTGTGAACAAAGAGGTAGCCGTGCCGGTAGACAAAGTCGTCGTCAAGGAGGTGCCAGTGTACGTCGACAAGTACGTGGAGAAGATCGTTCACCGCGCCGTCCCCGTGGAGAAGATCGTTGTGAAGGAGGTTCCAGTCGAGGTGGAGAAAGTTCAGTTTCGAGAAGTTCAGGTGAAGGAAAGCAAGAGATGGTCTTGTGCTTAGTTGCCATCAGGTCCCAGTTGAGCGAATCGTGGACAAGTTTGTTGATGTGCCGGTGGAGAGGATTGTACACCATGACAAGATAGTGTACCAAGACAAGATAGTCTACAACGATAAACCTGGTAGGCCCACGGGATGTCGGATCGAGTTGCCGTTGACTGTCTGGCTGCAGTCGAAGTTCCCGTGGAGCGCATGATAGCCAACGAGAGTCTTGACACCTACTCCAGCAGTCTGAGAAGATCTCTTGTAGACGTCAACTCGCACAAGGTCGGGTTGGGTCTCGTGCTCCGAGTCAACAACGACGGAGAGATTGTGATCAAGGAGCTCATTCATGGTTACGCCGCTCAGCGTCAGGGAGGGGTGAGCGCTGGGACCGAGCGGCTGGAGCGATGCTGACATGCTGTAGCTGCGTGAAGGTGACGTCCTGGTCACCATCGACGGCCACAAAGTGCAGGACTACAACTTGGAGGAGATCAAGAACTTGACCTTCGGAGAGGAAGGAAGTTTGGTCACTATCGACATTCGACGGGATGGGACCGACCAGAAGGTTGAGGCTGCTTGCTCTTGTTGACGAGGATGTGATGAACCCGTGCAGGTGACGCTGCAGAGAATATCAGGAGCAGGCCAGTCCAACACTCTCATGTCCTCCGTCCGCTCCTCGTATGCTGAGAGCTGAAGAATCAGAAGCAGGCGGTGCGAAGTCGCTGAGAAAGGAGGAGGAGGAGGAGGAGGAGGAGGAGGAGGAGGAAGCGAAGGAAGGTCGAGGAGGAGGAGGAGGAGGAGTCGTGAGAGGAAGAGGAGGAGGAGACAGGGTGGCCTCACTTAATCAATCCTTTATACACGTGCTAAAGAATAACCCTGCCGTCTTCGCGGCTCTCTGTTATCTACAAGGTGACACGACAGGAGCTTCTCACTCCAGGTCGTCCATGTCAGCATTGTTGCCCGTCAACGCCCTCCACTCGCTCTTGTTGGGGTCGTGCTGCGCAGCAGTCAGGGACGGGCCAACAGACAGCAAGAGACGTACGGGTTTGAAGGCGAGCGGGAGCTGCTGCAGCTGAATCCGACGCATCACGCGCCCGCTACCTGCTCGCAACGTCACTCCTCCTTGAGCTACCTGACGAGCTGACCTGAGCCAAGCTTGCCTGCAGTGTGGCTGCAGCTCCTGCAGTAACACACGCAGGCGCAGCAGCCGAGGAGGGAGAGGCAAATGAGGAAGCCCATGGCGGTCCCGTTCTTGTCCAGCGAGGCCAGCTCGTCCTTGAGCTCGGAGGAGCTACCGTCGAACCAGTGGATGACCAATGGAGTTGAGTTGGGAACGTTGGTGGTCACGGCAGCTGGGGTGGTAGTTGGAAGGTTGCTGACTTCTGGAGCAAGCGATCCGTTGCCAAGTAGGACTCTGAAGGCTACCCCGAGGTTTGCGGCCTGGCGTGGAAGAAGAAAAGTCAGTCGCCCACTTCCTTACCTTTGCTCCCGCTCTTGTTCCTCCTCTTACACCCTCCTCTCCTCTCCCCTCGCTCCTGTCCCCTCGCTCCCCTCCTCTCCATTCTCCTCCTCTACCTCCCCTCACCTGTAAGGCGATGTTCATGGTCGCCAGATCGATCACCCTCTCCTCTGCATCTTGTCGACTACTTTCTTGCACTGAGAGCAGGAGCAATCAATCGAGGATGCGACAAGGAGGAAGACAGAATGGCGCAGGGAAAAGAGAGAGCCAACGGCCAAGAAAGTAGCGATGAAAGTAACGAGCTGGAGGCGGATGGATGGATGGATGGATGGATGGATGGATGGATGGATGGAGGGAGGGAGGGAGGGATTGAGGGAAGGGTATTATGGAGAAACGTCACCGCTGATTGTGATATTGACGGTGCTGTAATCGCGCAAACCTTCTTCTTCGTCCTCTTCGCCAGGAAGGAGGCCAGGGATGTCCAACAGGCTGCCTGAGTACACGATTCCTCCTTGGATGCTGCTGATGACTATCCGAGAAGGGGGCACACCGATCGCCGCTCCGATCGCCTTTGACAGTGAGTGAATGCAAACATGGAGACGGGAAGGTGAGAAGGAGACGAAGAGATATCGAGGGAAGGAGCTGACAAAGTCAGGAACAAGAATGCGGGGGGAGGGGGGCGGCGGAGTAGCCCTGGGGAGAAAGGAAGTAGCAGATGATGATGATGATGATGATGATGATGATGATGATGATGATGATGATGATGATGATGATGATGATGATGTATGATGATGATGATGATGATGAGGAGGAGGAGGCAGCATACCTGCCGGAATTGCTCTTGGGTGGAGTTGAGACGAGATGCAGAGATGAGAATTCGAAGCTGGGGGAGGAACTTAGACCCAAATCATTCCGCACGCGCGTTGCTACCTGCACGTGAACCTCCTGATAGGATGGGGGAGCTGGGCAGCGGCTGGGAGTCAGCGTAGGGATGAGCACGAGGCAGGGCGGCTCACGAGCTGGCAAGGGGATGCATTCTTCCTCCGACGTCGCTCCTGCGGATGAGTTTGTCCGCTGCAAGCCGCATGAGCTGATAGTGCGATGAGGAGAGGAGGAGGAGGAGACCTCAGGGCAGCTCAGGCATGAGCTCTGCTCGTCCTCGCTCTGGTACGTCCCAGGTGGGCACAGCCTGCGGGTGATGGTCACGCTCTCAGCTCCCCCCAGCCTCCACTTACTTGCATGGAGCTCTTCCATCCTCTCCGCTGTATCCGGGGAGACACCTGCAATCGCTCGAGGAGGAGGCGGAGGTGCCGGAGTAGGAGGAGCCGTCAGGACAACCTGCGTTTCACTGTCATCCTCCTCCTCCAAGAACAACCAGCGGATACTGAGAGCGACGACGGAGCCAGGAGGACAGTAGTGCTGGGGGATACAGCTCGAGCAGAAGGACATGCCGGACTGAGCCTGCATCTGACCTGCGGAGAGAGTGAGAGGAGAGGAGAGGAGAGGAGAGGAGAGGAGAGGAGAGGAGAGGAGAGGAGAGGAGAGGAGAGGAGAGGAGAGGAGAGGAGAGGAGAGGAGAGGAGAGCAAGGAGGAAAATGGGCGCGCTAGCATGGCCTTGAGGAGGACGTGTACTGAAGAGGCAAAGAAGAAACGTTGAGGGTGCAGGGTGAAGAAAAGACCAGGAGGGAGTAGACGAGGTAATGGGGAGGAGGCAGAAGACGGGGAGACTGGACTTTGGAGTACCTGCTGGACATTCCTCGCACGTAGATCGCCCCGTCTTGTCCTGATACGTCCCACTCTTGCAGTCCGAGCACAACGTCATCCCAGCCTGGGGCGAGAAAGTGCCTGTCAATCCATGTCAGATGTCAAAGTTGACCAGCTGAGACGATCTGCTGGGCACCTGCTGGGCATTCGTTGCACGTCGACTGGCCGAACTGTTCATTCTTCTTCCCAGCTTCACATAGTTTGCACTGTGGGTGTCAACCAGCCGTTATTCCACGGATGGACCTTTGACAAGAACATGCCTGAGCGAAGGGGAGGAACCCCTCATCGAAGCTGAAGGTCCCGGGTTGGCACGGGCTGAATAGTGCAGCTCAGGTCCAGCTGGTGGGAAAGCTGGGAAACGTCACCTGCACCGAGGACCCACTTCGCCAGTGCGACATCGCTGCTGAGAAACCCAGACATCGTTAACAAGCTGCAGCGACCCCTCCGCATCCTGCTGGACTCCTCCGATGGCGACCTGCAGCTGAACTTCAGCTGGTGTGAAGGGCTTGTCGAGGCTCACAATGGACTCGTTGATAGAGATCATCTTCAGTCCGTAGCGCTTTCCCCAGAAATTTTGACGCTCCAAGAGATTCGATGGCAGCCAATCCATACCTGGAAAAGGAGGAGGAGGAGGAGGAGGAGGAGGAGGAGGAGGAGGAGGAGGAGGAGGAGGAGGAGGTGGTGGTGGTGGTGGTGGTGGTGGAGGAGGAGAAGTGGGAAGAAGAGGAGTGAGAGGAGGAGGAGGAGAAGTGGGAGGAGGAGGAAGGGCAGAGAAGATAACAGGAAGAGGAGTGAAGGAGAGAGAATGCAAAATCCGCGAGGGGAGCAAGAGATGATGAAAGGGGGAGAACAGCAGCACGGCACACGGCCAAATGGGGGAAAGCGAAAGAAAGAATTTCAGCTCAGCAGATGATGTTATGATGCAAACAACCAGCAGCGTCACACGTCTGCTTGCTCGAGCTGCACTCCCTGGAGGAAGCATACACGTCCTCGAAGATGGTCTCGTCGGTTCCCACAATGGCTCGACCCCCAGCAACGATCAGCTGACGCCCATCACTGGCAACGGCAAAGTCTTGTCTCCCTGAACCAAGAAGACTCAGCCCACGGGAGGAGAGTGAGGAGAGGCGGAGGAGGAAGCAACATCGGGTAAGGGACAGCAGGGCCGGTAGATATGAAGGAAAGACAAGAGTAGGACAAAAGAGGCTTCACGAACCTCTCCAGTTGCTGTTGGGGGTGATAAGGCTCCACGTCATGCCATCTTGAGACGCCCACACGTCATTCTTCGCTGTGTCCTCGTCAGTCTGATTGCGACCTCCACCTCCTCCTCACCTGCTCCCGAGCTCGGGGAGGTTGGGGAAGAGAGCTTGCTACCCCCCAGGAGAATGAGCTGTTCGTTGTCTTTGCGGCCTGTAGGAGTATCAATCGGAGGAGAGGAGAAGATTTGAAGCAAGGGGGCCGGAGCTGTTGTGAGGAGAGGAAGTGGGAGGGAGGAAGAGGCAGGGACAAGGTGTTTGTGAGGAGAGTTTGGATGTTTGCAAGGACGAGAAGGTCAGTGGTGGAGAAGAGCTAGGGAACCGTGTGATAGGATTGAAAATCCAATTCTAGTCCCCCAAGGAGCCTTCTGCAAATAAAATAAGGTCAGACAAACGGTCCGGCTGCTGCTGCTGCCACTCCTCCTCCTCCTCACCTGTGTGACTTGCGACCACACCAAGCCATCCCCCGACATCCAGACATCATCTCTGAAGACAGCTTGATCTTCCGACGAGTTTTCCATCCTCTGAATGCCTCCCACCATCACTATGATCGACATGTTCATCGAGAACTTGTTGAAAAGACTCGCTGATCCCAACACGCCTCGTGGGGTCCAACTAGCCGACGCTGTCAGGAGGGTCCACGAGATATCCGCGTCCATCACCCTGCTGGAACAGACGGTCATCCTCACATTGCCATTGACATGTCAAGCACATCTCATCACTCTCACCTCTTCATGTAGGTTGAGAAGTTCCACCTCCAGACGTCGTTGAGCAAGACGACACCCTTGTCATCTAAACCCAACCCGCCGAACACATACATGCTGTAGAGGATGTCGGCAAGAAAGCAGAGCAAGCAAGAGGAAAGGAAGGATCTCACATGCTCGAGGAGGAGGCAACAGCTCCAAAGTGAGCCCGTGCTGGCCAGACCTTGGAAAAGCTGACCTCCCGCCATGTCGCTCCGTCCGACGATTCCCACACGTCATTGAGGACCTCGTAGTTTGTCGAGGACATGTTCCCAACAGCAGGAGCTTGTCGTATGCTCCCTAGCAGCACGTCATTGATTCTACTCTCCTCCATGTCTGCCGGAACTCTGAGCCCTCCCAGTACCACCATCCGATCTCCCAGATCAGATCGCATGGCGACCGCTTCATGACCGAGTCTCTTCGCCCATGGCGCTGAGATGGTCCACCTTGCCCATCGATCTGTCGAGCTGCAGCAAGGAATGTCGCAGTTCACACAATTCTTGCAGAACATGCTATCCAAACAATCAGCATCTGCAAGCACCCCACAAGTTAGACCCGGAAGCTGATCAATATTCAACACTGTTCACGGAGAGAGACAGAGCAGGACGAACAAAGGTAGAGGAGGGGGGGAGGAGAGCCGGCTTGCCTGTAATCTGAGTGCCGTCGGAGCAGGAGCATGCTGGAAGTGCGTCTCGCGGCCATGTCAGCGCCAGCAGCAGCCATAGAATCGCTCTCGCCGCCATTGCCCTCAATACTTTTCTCACTTGGTGGATGTGCAAGGGGGGTGGTAGGGTGGGGGTGATTAATAGGAAAATTGGTGGGTGGGGGTACTCTTATTCCGCCATTCCAGGAGGTGGGGGTGGTCTCTTCATCATCGACCATCTTGGCTGAAAGAACGGGGTTATGCATCATCAATGAGGAAGGATTAGAAGGGGGTGGGGGTGTAATTCAGGGGTAGGGGTCAAGCAGTATGGGGGTGGTGGGTCATGACCTCTCCCCAGCTACACCCTCCCCCATGCATCAGAGTGTTCTTGTGGTACCCCACCTTCTTCCACAACTTGAGAGTATAAGGAGGGGTGGGTGGCTGCAAATTCCTCGAATGGGGTGGGTGTCACTGATGAGGCGGGCTGGTCTGAGCACTGGTGAGGCGGGCCGGTCTGACAGGAATGTCGGGGAGCGACAGGTAACGTGCAGGAAGGGGCAGGATGATGATGAGGAGGAGGACGAGGCAAGGGGGGGGGGGGAGGAGAGAAGGAAGAGTTGAACAGACGATGAGAGTGGAAGGGAGGTTGAAGGGATGAAGAAGCACAGGCACTTATCTGATGGCTCCATGGTTGGTCCAGGGGCAGAAGCAAGGCGAGAAGAGATGAGGAGAGGCAGGAGGACAAGAGATGGAAGGAGGGGAGGAAGACGAGTTAGTCATGGCTGGAATTCATATGCAGGATTGATAAAAGTGTCACTCAGGCATCCTGCCGATGATCGGTACGGCAGCATCTCCGACCCTCGTGCTGTAAGTCCACCAGACGTAGTCATGCTACTCTCCCTCTACACAAACATCCTCAGCCCTCCCTCCGCCCTTGCTTCTTGGCTGGTTCTTCCTTTCCTCCTGTGTGCTCACCGAAGATCCCAAGGTTATCGGTATGGAGAACTGGGCAGTCAGAGAGGAAAGGAGCAGGTATTTGGCGTGACTGCTTTGCGACTTGGTTGTTCATGGTCGACTCGTTGTCAGGATGGAAGTGCTAGAAGCCGCGGACGAGAAGAAGACCATCTGCAAGTACCTGTCTTGTGGACTGATCATCCTCGTTGGTGAGGAGGGAGGAGGAGGAGGGACGGGTGTAACGTCGTCACATATCAGTGGTTGGCGCTTCTTGTTACTACCTGTGGATGCGAGTTGCGGTATGATCGGCACGAGTATGTGAGCGAGAGTCTCATAACAGTGCCGCAGATGCACTGCGGGGAAGCATGCAACAACCTGTCGGGGCCATGGGGAGGTTTGACTTGTCGAGTTGGGAGATCCGATGGGTTGACGAGTTGGCGTTAGTTCTCAATCAACCGAAGGAGAAGAAGTCGCAGGATGTCGACCTGGCGAACAGGAGGGTTCTGATCAAAGTTAGACTGTTGATAACTCCTTGTTTCTTTCCTTACCTTGCCTCCTCCAGCATCTCATGGAGGGACCTGCTCTCATGGAAGCTCAGTCGTAAGTTCAACAAGCATGACAATCTTGCCTGTTGGTTGACAAGTCTTGTGTCGTCAGGTTGACTTGGAAGGAGATCGATGGCTGGGCCAAGAAGCATCCAACTAAACCAGTCCACATTGGCATGGTGTGACATGAAGTGTTGTGGCCTCAGTGCCCTCCAATGCAACGGTGCTGATTGCGTTCTAAGGTGCTGGTGCTAGAGAACGAGTCAGAAAAGTACAAGAAGTTGATCTCTAACATGGTAGGCTGACTTGTCTCACTTGTCTCACTTGACATGTGCGTTGATGCTCTGCAGGTTTATCACAAGCTTGTCGACCTCAAGATTTGCGATGAGAACCATGTTTGCTCCGAGAACTCAATCGCTGGTGAGAAAACAGAGGAGGAGCTTTCTGTGCTTGTTGTAACAACAATCGCTAGGAAACATCAGAGCAAGAGCGTGTCCAAGGGACATCCCCTGTTCTCCCAGCATCGTTACAGAGATCGATCGGCAAGCACGTCAGCTTGCGAGGTACTGGAGATGAGATGATCGATACGATGTGTCACGTCCATGCTCCCCTGCCATTTTGGCTCTTGTTCTCTGTCCCTTACCGACTTTTGTACTCAGCGTTGCTGTCGATGGCGCTTTCAAGGGGTTGCGGGATGTGATCGAGCAGAAGAAGGTGGAGGGAGGAAGACGTCGCAAGCGTGCTGATCCTCCCCAGGGAATGGCGGCGAGCAGCGTTGCAGCGAACATGAACAAAGGTTTGTCATCAGCATTCGTTTAGGTCAAGCTTGACTTCGGTTGTCACAGTGCAGAGCAGTCTCATCAAGAGTTCGACGTATGAGAACGTGAGACTACATGTTCTTCTCCCACACCCTTCACACTTCTCTCATCTTTGCAGGCCGCGTCAACAGGGATGGGATACCAGCCTGCTGGCTACATCCCCACCTACAACCCTCCGTCGCAGATCTAAGGCTTGGAGGCGCGATGCCCTGCCGACCATCTCTGTAGTTTTCAATTATTTATTGTTTTTGATTGCAAGCTCGTTTTCCCTTTGTGACTTGCCAGTGTGCATGTGGATCACACAAACGTGCATGTTCATCAACACGTACGATCATGTCTCACTTTGATCATGGAGTTTCGGCACCAGTTAGCGATCCTGCCCGCCCTGACAATTGGCAGCAGACCAGGCTTGAAGTTTGAGACGGCTTGTCACGATGAATCAGTGTGACAAGTGGGGGCGGAAGTGTTGTAGCTCCTCGTTCAATCGCATGAAGTTGCTGTCGCACTGCTTGAAGCACTGGATAAAGTACTGGGGATCCAGCATCGCCTGTTCATGCGCAGCTTGAGTATATCATTGCAAGCTCTTCCCAAGAGTCTTGCCTGGAGCACATCGACCTTGACAAACAGCATGTTCTCAAGAGCCAGCATGTCGAGATACCGCAGAGTTTGAAACTTGTCTGTGGTCTTTTCTCTGTACAAGATTGCAATCGAGCTCTGTTCCGACAGCTTCTCTCCCTTGGCGTGGCGTTGAGGGGGAAGGTGGTTAGCGTCAAAGATGACTGGATGGACCTGAAAATTGATCGGATCAGGCACCAACAAGAGGAGGTCAACTTACCTTCTTGTCATCCTTGGTGAAGAGTAGCTTCTTCCCAGCAGCAAAATGACACTTGTTCCTGTCCCAGTGCTCAATATCTTCCACCATCCCCATCCCGCTGGCGCGATGAAGCAGTTGGTAAATCTTCTCGGGCGTGTCGAGCTCGATTCCTTGCTCGCTGCAGCTCTTGAGCACGACCGGAGCGCTTGCCCCCTCCCCTGCATGCTCAAACTTCCAACTGATGTGGTCGGAGTACCTCCTCGACTTAGACAGCAGGTGCAAGTTGACGTTGACGTGCATCGGATGCTTCCCCCATGAGAAGATGTCTAGCGCCCGAGCAGCAGCCTCGATGTTGGGCCCCAGGGAGCGAAGGAACATGACGAAGTTCCTCGTCTCTGCGCTGAGAAAGCTCAGCAAGTTGAGGAAGGAAGGCAGGATCAGATGGTAATGGCGCTGCGACTCCTCCAGGGTGAGGCCTGCAGGGCAGCAGCAGCTGCTCAGGAGAGCATGCGCACGAGGGAACGAAGAGGGAGGGGGAGAGGGAGAGGGGAGGGAGAGGGAGAGGGAGAGGGAGAGGGAGGGAGGGAGAGAGAGAGAAAGAGAGAAGGAGAGGGAGAGGGAGAAGGTGAAGGAGAGGGAGAGGGAGAGGGAGAGGGGAGGGAGATTACCTTGTGTGCGAGGAACGTCGCTCGGCCATTCGATGAGCTGCATCAGGTCCTCGAGAAAGTTCCTGTAGATCCTTCCCGGCCCTTCACTCGTGAACTTCTTGCTGTTGGCCTCGCCCAGCACGTCGAAGCATGACACCGAGTCGCTAGGAGGGTACCCGATGAAGCGGATGGACTGCGGCATGTGGCTGGAGGTGGAGGAGGAGATAATGCTTCTGACTAGCGGAGGGACCGCTGCATGGTGACCTGCCTGTCGGTCGACCACCCGTAGAGGGCTGGAGTCATGCCAACAGTAAGTGGGGTGAAGGCGATCGAAGTCCTCCAGGTTCTCAAGGCTTGCCGTCGGGTCACTTCCCTCAGGAGCCTTGATCTGCCGGATGTAGGCGGCTCTTGCTATGAGCACGTTGATCAGATCCTCTACAGCCTTGGGCCCTCCGTCACGATGCACGGGCATGATAGTTTCCTCCAGGCTGACGTTGAGCCATAGCACCCTCTCAGTCATGACGTTTCTTCTTCCTCACTTCATCCTCCTCCTCTCTTACCTCAGCCTCTTCTTGTGTGCTCCTCTCCTCCCCTGCCCACCCCCTTCCTCTTCATTCGCTCTCCTCCCTCTCCCTCCGACATCGCGTCTCTACCAGTAGGACAAGGGAACAGACGCTTCCACACTCGGCGGGGTAGTTATTGGAGATATAAGGGGTAGTGGGGTACCGTACCATTCGTAATCCAGAGAGATAATGAAGGACGACATGGAGCAATGATGAAGAGCACGTGAGAACTTCTTGACTTGATGAGAAAGAGACAACAAGAGAGAAGAGGGGAGATGGATCATCTGCGTCTTGTTCCAACGATCGACACAAGAAGACTTTGGGCTTCCAGTTGTCGTAATTTCATGTGAAACTAGTTCGTTAGCATCATCACAAGCTCTTTTTAGCCTCCTCGCGTCCTCTACATCAAGCACAGATGGCAACGGATCCCTTCCCCGGTCATTCGCCAGCTCTTGGCTGTCTCAGAACTCCTCCGACACTGCGTCCTTGACCAGCTTCAGTACCTCCTGCCGCTTCCCTTCCTCCGGAAGAGCTTTTAGGACTAGCTGTAAACTCAGAGTAAGCTGCATGCAACTGCTTCCTCCTCCTCCTCCTCCTCCTCCTCCTCCTCCTCCTCCTCCTCCTCCTCCTCCTCCTCGTCCTTCTCCCTCCTCCTCCTCCCTCGTCATCCTCCCTCCTCCCTCCTCCCTCGTCCTCCTCCCTCCTCCCTCCCTCCTCCTCCTCGACCTCCAGCAGCTCCGCATCGTGAAGTTTGATCAGAGAAGCAGGGAACTTGTAGAAGTAGTCCTGCACACCGGGTGAGCTACGTACGACGTCCTTCATCAACACAGACCTCAGCCGAGATCTCGTTTCTCTTGAGCTCTCCACATCCCTGCCCAAGGGCTCTGTCACGTTGGGCAGCAGAGGGCGGTACTGACCTCTCGAAACTTCATGAACTCTTGTCGATCTCCTATCTCCTCCATCACCACCTTCATCAAGACCTGCAGCGCACAACGTTTCATGCAAGCGCTCCACCCTCTTCTCCTCCGCTCACTCACCTTGGGGTCATTGAGGTCCAGCTTCTTCCTCTCCTCTGCCTTCTTCTTGGCAGCTGCCTGACAGCATCAATCAGCGAGGCTCATTCATACCGGTTAAGCTCTCACCTTGTCCATGGCTTCGATGATGCGGTCCATCTCAACTTCCCCGTTGTCCAGAAGTTCCACAAGTTTCTATCATCATCACAATGTTGTCAGGAATGAAGGCATCGAGTGTTGATAAGATGTCTCACCAACATGTCCATAGTGCTCAACTCTTCGTCTGTGTACTTGGATGCTTTCTTCGAGGCCTTTGCCCTGGACGGCGCGAGCTGCTTCGCCTTTGGTTGTTTCTTCTCGAACTCCAGCAACTCTGTGGCACATTCATGAGGGAGCTCAGCGGAAGGGTCCATCATCTCAAACCTGGGAAAACATCTTCCTCCTGGGAAACCTGAGCATGCGAGCACGTCGATGATACAGCAGGGGACGCATGGGTTGAAGGGCCCTCCAGATCGACCTCATGCTGCCCTTCCTTTCCTCCTACCTTGCTCATCTTCTCCTCCAACTGCTCCTTCACCTCCTCCTGGATCGTCCCTTCCGCCTCCTGCCCCCCCTCCTGTTTATCATGCTCCTGTGCGCCTGACTGCTGAGCGTGCATATCGCAAGAGAGGCGCATGACATCAACTTTGCTGCGAGTCAGCATGATAGCAGGAGTGATCCACCGGTGAGGCAGAGCTTGATACCCCACCCAGCTCAGCCGACCGATCCTGGCAGAGCACTTTGGGCAGCAGAGCTTACCCTCCGTGTCTCCCGCCACGTTGTCCATCCAGTCGACAGGACTCTCGAGGAAGAAGGAGCCGCTGTCAGTCCCGTAGTTGATCTCGTCTTGTAACAGGTCCTGCTCCTTGCAGAGGGTGAACCTGCACATTCTACAAGCCAAGACAACCACTTCCGCAGGAGTGAGAGGGGTGGTAGTTTCCTCTCCTTGTGTATCCGCAGAATTGAGAGGGGTTGTAGTTTCCTCTTCTTGTTGCATGTCTCGCTCGTGGGTGGGTTGGAAGACAGGATCGATGTCCATACACTATCGACAACAGACCAGCCTGTTCTGTCTAGTACACGACTTATCCCTCCAGCTCCTTGCTCGTGATAGCAAACTACATGCAATCGCACATTTGCAAGGTGTGTTCCTGGTGAATAGGTGGATACTGGCACTCAAGGTTCTGCATGAATATCTTCTCTACCTCCTCCCTCCTCCCTCCTCTCAGTCTAGCATCGCAAATTTCGTCCGCACATGCGAATTCAGTTTTACTCAACAAATATTCAAGTCCTCCTCAGATTACTGGTATAAGAGATGCTGAAGACAGCAAGTGACACGATCAACTGTCAAGCTTTCAACGGTGGCATCGAGTTACCGTACTGTCGTTGAGTCACTACTGCGAATCTCCCGGTACAGTGCAGTCTCAGTTGCAAAGAGGAATGTTCTACTCGATCAAAATCCGCGAACAATTCGTAACGAGCCTCAGGATCTGTGAGTTCGGAGTTCGCGCAGTCAACAATCCGATCATCATGAATATCGATCACAAAGAATAATTCTATTCATCCAGTCTACAAGTATGTACAAAAGATTAAAATAAACAAGCTTGTAAGTTACAGAGCGCTATTGCAGTTGGCACGGAGGCTTGTTTTCCTTCTTGTCTTCATTCTGCTTCATCTCATCCAGTCTGCTCAAGGCCAGTTAGATCGACCCATCAGTGCATCAGGCATCGTTTCTGATCGGTGTACCTTTCCATAATCTCCTTCAGAGGTGGTCTTTCTTCTACAACCTGTGAGCAGCAGCTCTGCACACTAATGAGAGAGCAGGAGAGAAAAGAAATAGCGCGCAAGCACCATGAGAAGGTCCTTGGTTCCGCATTTCCATGACAAGAACTTTGTGAGGTGAGCAAGCGCCTGCTTGACAGTGAGCTGGATGGACAAACCCTCGAGCAATCTCTCACCTTTCCCCTATTTCTGTTGCACAGAATGAAGAGAAAGATCTTCCCAAAGCTAATCACAAGGTGTCAAGGCCCACACAAAGACCACCATCGCTTGCCTGTAAATATCTGCTTCTGCGCCGAACATATCTCCTCGTATCACTTCAGGAGCAGAGTAATCATTGCAATTGAGGTTAAGTCTGTGCTTGTACGTCTTCATCATCCCCCTCTTTCTCAACGCCATCTTAAGGCCAACATCCGCAACCTTGACATGGTCGTGGTCGTCCAGGATCAGGTCTTGAGGCTCCAGCCGGCCGAAGAAGAAAGCAGGAGAAGACGAATGAAGGAAAGAAAGAGCACGGCAAAGTTGCAATGCCCACCTATGAACCAAACGCTTCGAGATGGGCCTTGCCTTGACCCTCATCTCCATCGTCATGGTACTGAGCTCTGCAAGCACCCAGACCGAGGTCTCGTTGAGAGGGACGGCAACAGGACCATGATACATCTGGATATGAGGATGTCGAAGATCGACCAAGTCTTCAAGGAGACCGATGGCTTCTTCTCGTTTGAATTCCTTGCTGATCTTCATGTCAAGCACCAGGACGGAACACTTGCTGTTCTTCCATACTGCGTCGTAGTACACCCCGTATCTCCCCAGCGTCGATGACTTGTACTCCACTTGGATCGCTTCTCTCTTCACCATGATGGTATGACTAGTGGGCTGGTTCATGAAGTCTGACAGAACCTTGAACCTGACTTTCTCCTGTGAAGAAGATTCGTCGCTACTACCAGAAGATCGGTTGTCGCTGTTGAACCCAAAGTCGCTCATCATCATAGAAGATGGGGTGGAAGTGCAGGATGTTTCATAGGCGTCTTCGTCTGTCTCTTCAACTTCTGCCAAGCTCGGCAAAGAAGGCAACTTTCTGAAGGAAGTAGAAGACGTTATCTCTTTCTCATCTCCTTCTCGGGTTCCGAAGTGCTCACACAGAGCCTATGAACACGTCAACAAAAGGAAAGGAAGGACATTCTCCGTCTCACCCACACAAGCGACAAGTCCTTTTCTTGTGGAGAAGAAGAATCAAGATCGTACGAGGCGATTCTCACGTCGAGGTCCACGCCCACGCTCTTCAAACAAGACCCACTAGAGTCCTGTAAGAAATCGCAATCAAGAGCAACGAAGGATATTGTGTGCGAAGACAATGAGTGATGAGAAGCAAGATAGTTTGAAAGTAACGAGCTACAATCATTCATCCTACCTCCGACCCTCCAGCACTCGCCCGTGTGTGCATGGCTGATGGGTGCCTGGTGGTAGACGATGGGGGGGCGGACGAGAGAGGACGGGGGCGAGTATAAAAGAATTCGAGATTGGTACAAATTTAAAATCAATATTTCAGATGGTCGCACACGAAAAACATATTCTTCATGATAATCACGTTACTCTTCGGTTGGCTAGTCTGTCAATTTGAGGGGAGGGTAGGTGTATGCTCCAATGCATACCATGTACCACCTACCCCATCGTAGGTTCTTCAAAGCTTTGCCCTGCCATTTTGCTTTGGAAAGAGATTATGCTGATGCTATCCTGGTATATTGTTGAGAGGCAGGAACCCATTGTGTGGTAATGGGTAGGGTAGTGGTAGTCTTATCTCAGGGAGGGAGTACTGGTCTAATCCTATACAAAAAGTGGGGTGGACTTTTTGAAGGGGTACTAGTAGTTAATTGGGAAACGGGGGGGTGGAACCAGGGGGTTGGGTAGCAATGTGCAACTCTGTGGTACGTAGGACGTATTTTAAATTGTTTTAAAACAAAAAGTATTGTTCTGTTTATTACACTTAAACAATATATATAAATTGTACGATGTAGTTTCAACAAGTTTTACTCTACTGCAATTTGTACATCTAATTGATATATCAGAAAACAGTTTTATACATATAAATATTTTTTGTGGATCTAGTTATAGGGGATCTCTATTTAAAACTTTATAAACTGGCGCCCATAAAAAAAAACACAAGGGGGTTCATCCCGAGTGTTTATATCTGATGCCCGGGCCGACCGGCACTTCAAGTCCTGGGTCCATCAAGAGGAATTTATAACTCAAAGTGAAGTTAAAAATCAGTACGAGGACTTGGGTCAGAGTCTGTCGCCTGCCCGCTACAGTCTGCTGCCACTGTGGAACAGCTTTTCAACTATACCGGTGGAATAACCCGTGAATCCTCCACCGCCTCATCCTATGCCACGGTGCGCTATTTAATGGTCAAGCCGCAAAAGTGAGTATTCCACAGGGCGATGTGCATCGTCAAACATTTGTTTGTGGGCCCCTCACAGACCAGAAAGTTCAAACGATGAAGCCATGCCTAGACTCATCAACGATGTGCAGGTTGCACCTCGGATCTGCTAATCTGACACGACATTGATAGCTGAAACATCTTGTATGCGCGTGCAAGAAGCGTATACGCTCTGGATGCGAAGAAAAGCCTCAGTGAAAGCGATCCTTTCCTCGATGGTGTCATACCTGCTTTCCCCACTTGAAATACAACTCAAAAAAAATCACCAAATGCACATCAGTCTGTACATTTGTAAGCTGATATCTTCTCACTACAAGTGAAATTTCAGTGATCCAGTGAGGAAAGAAACTTGGGTCTCTCAATTCAATTCAAGGCTTCTTGTACGTGCTTTTGCATATCTCGAGTCTTGCATCTCACTGTTGCTCATGTGAGAGATCCAGGTTCCCATGGAAAGAGATGAAAGAGAAGAACGAACCACGTCTCAGATGATGACTACTCACATGCTTGCTATGAGATGGACTAGTAGGAAGGGGGAGCCGAACGAGGAAACCGAACCAAGTACATAAACTGTATGGACCCCACCCTGACAGGGCGAGCCTCTCATCTGAGGCCGTGTTAGTATAGTGGTTAGTATCCCCGCCTGTCACGCGGGAGACCTGGGTTCAATTCCCAGACGCGGCGACCTTTACCGATGGTCCTCCTGAAATTACAGGAGTCTCTCCCTCCTTTTTGCTGAAAAGTCTGAGGGGTATGGGGGAAACATTTTTGGGTTGTCCCGACAGTCAGGAAACTGAGTTATCTACCATGCTGCGATGGATGATGCTCACGGCGATGACAGCAGCGATGTTGAACGGAACCGGCTCAGATGCGATCTACGAGCACAACCATCATGTTGTGAGTCCTCCAGGTATTACTACCCTCAGCGTGGTCTTCACTGGTCATGACGCTAAGTTAATCATAACTTGTTGATGTTTCGTAGAGTTCGGTACTGGCAACAATGCTGGATCGCATCACATGGTTTGTGAAGGATGGCCAGCATGCTCTCTATCGCTCTATCTTGAATGGATGCATGGTAGCATGGTATGGCAAAGAACACTGTCATGTCTTCACTGCTCAGTATTTACCGTACAATTTGTGTGACCCTCAACTTTGGTCTTAGGGTGTTGTATCAGAAGAGAAGACTTTGCGCAATGAAATCAATCAGGTGAACCAAAGGCTTTTTCGCTTTTGAAAAGTGATTATATGCTTCATCTCGCAGTTGTCCTCGATTAATTGCTCAAAAACATCTTGCAGTTCCTCGGAAAGGGTCAAGGAGATTGAAGATCAGTTGAAACAAGCACAAACCCTGTTGGACAAGACCGAAGCTGCAGTAGCGAAGCAGAACAAGGTAAAGAGGGAAGAATAGAGCTTACGAGAGCTCCTTACCTGCATCAAGGCTCAAGACGACTTCTGGGAGAGGTGGCTTAAATCCGTGGATGCCCGGCTCAGGAAGCTTGACGAGATTGGAAAAGAAATCAAGGTGATCGACAGGAAAGAGGCAGAGAGTCAGCTGGACAAGATAAAAGAGCTCACACTAGATGTGTCTTTGCTCGGAGAACATCGCATGAGGTTTGAACTTGACGGAACCAGGGACAGACAAGACACTGCAACTATCCCTTCCTCTGATCCCCGCAGATCGACGGCTACCATCCGCGAGGAGTTTCTGAACAAATCGTGGGACTACCTCGTGCTCGATTCATCAAGTATCAATTCAGAAATCATCCGAACTCACGTAAGTAGTGATGTCGAGGACGAAAGTCCACGATGAAAGCAGCGGACTGGCAGCACAGACTCGAACTGGTGGTCAACCAGGGGAAATGACACTCGTCCTGACGCGTCCTACCTGACATGTGTCTTCTTGTGTTCCCTGCTCTGACCATTTGATGTTAGGCGGAGCAGAGGTCCCTGTGCCTCCTGCGCGAGCTGCTCGATGCCTGGCTGTCGGCGGGCGCGGTCGAGCACACGAGGTGCCCGCTGGGGAGGGAGGAAGACGATTGCTTCATGCGATGCTCGAGATACTGCAGAGCCTACAGCAAGGTCGGACACGCAGACCAATCTAGACCGACCCAAGGAGAGACGCAGGGGTAGACGGGGGAAGCAGGAGGAGTAAGATAGAGGCTCAGGGACTAGGGAGAGAGCTGACTGGCGGGAGTGATCCGACAGTGAGGGAGAAGAAGATATGGTGCTGACATGACATGACAGTGTCGAGGAGCTGCGGTGATGGGGTCGTCGTGCCTGGTAACGGAGGATGGGTCACTTCTGCCTCTTCTCCATCGCCTACCGGAGACGCGGGTAAGCGAGCAACGCTGCCTTGTGCTTGATCGTGGAGCTGCTTCATGGCTGACGAGACGGCGGAACGGGCAGGTGCTGGTGAAGGAGAGCAGCTCCTCGCTGTCTGTGTCGAGGCTCGAGGGCAGGTAGACGGCTTCCATCGAGGCCTCTCTGCCGTGACTCGTCCAAGAGCCTGAGGTGCGCTGGATGCACCAGGGCTGATAAAATCAAAGCTAGCGTTATTCTGTTGGAGGTGGCGTGGCGTGTGTAAGGGATCGAACCTTGACGCCCAGCGCTCAGAAGTTGAGGTTTCTGTTTCGACATTCCATAAGGGCTCCCAGCCGCCGCTTGGCGGGCACTTGCTGGGGGAATGCCGGTTTATGTGCTCTATGTTATGTTCATCCCGCAAGTCTTCCTTCCATGATTTCCTCCTTGTGTCTTGAACGATCGGACTGCCTGCAGGCAGCCATGCCAGTGTTGTCGGTGTCCCGCAAGGCTCATCCAGATCGCTACCATTTCGTGTCTCACCCCGAAGCTTCACGGGTTGACGTCTGCAGTGAATGCTCAAGGCATCCCGCTGAATCACTGCGCTACACCTTTATGTGTGATCCAGCAGCATGCTTGAGCATTCACTGTAGACGTCTGCGACCGTAAAGCTTCGGGGTGTGACACGCTCCCTCCACCCACAAGAACCACCGCACCATCTCGACCATCGAGTCTTTGAAAGGAGTGACTAAAGGCAATACCCTTTCATGAGCAAACGCAACCAACGCAAGACTGCGAGGAGCTGCGGTGATGGCTGAGGTCGTCATGGTCGTCATGGTCGTCGTGCGTCCGCTTGAGGGCAGCACGAGACATTCTCGTTGAGCCCTCACCTCCTGTACCCGCGGTCAGGTCGTGAGTGCACTCGCTCGATGATGTACAGCTTGTATTGCATGCTAGTTTACACGTGCCTATCTACACCTCTCTGTCCTTGTCCTCCGTCGGCGAGTCTATGTCTGTGCATGGGTCTCCGTCGCGTCAGTTATCATAGCAGCCCCTCCTCGCCGCCCTCCTCGATCGTCCTGCTGGCCAGCGCTTTCCTCCTCGCTGCCATCACGCTCCCCAGCACTAGCGCGCCTCCCGTCCCAGCCTTCCTCGACGTCCTTCCGCCCTCTTCGGGGGTGGCGGGAGAGGGCAAGAGGGCGGGGTGGGGCGGGGAGGAGGAGGGTCTTGACCATGCGGAGACGTGAGCGATCTTGATGGTAGAACGGGGGGTAGGGAGTGTGGTCATGGCAGGGGTCAGGAGGGGGGGAGGGAGGGCGTGTGTGGACAGCGAGGCGATGAGGAGGAGGACGGGAGGATGTGGTGCAAGTAGTAGAGGATGAACGGGGTGTTTGAAGGACTTTAAAATGGGGTTGTTGTTGATTTTGTCCACTGGAGCCCTTGAGGGGACAAGTGACCTCGTTGGTCGTCCTTCTAGACGAGTTGCTGACTGTCACTCCATGCCCCAGGAAAGCTTCTGACTGGTCTAAAAAGGTTGCAAACTATAGAGTGACAGTCAGCAAACACGATCTCTCAACGCATCAACAAACTCTAAAGCTCTTGATCACGAGGGCCCGGGGGAAGTCTCCGTCTGCTAAACCCACAGCACCTCCCCCACCTCCTCCTCATCGCCTCGCTGTCCACACACGCCCTCCCTCCCCCCCTCCTGATTCCCTACCATGACCCCACTCCCTACCCCCCGTTCTACCATCAAGATCGCTCACGTCTCCGCATGGTCAAGACCCTCCTCCTCCCCGCCCCACCCCGCCCTCTTGCCCTCTCCCGCCACCCCCGAAGAGGGCGGAAGGACGTCGAGGAAGGCTGGGACGGGAGGCGCGCTAGTGCTGGGGAGCGTGATGGCAGCGAGGAGGAAAGCGCTGGCCAGCAGGACGATCGAGGAGGGCGGCGAGGAGGGGCTGCTATGATAACTGACGCGACGGAGACCCATGCACAGACATAGACTCGCCGACGGAGGACAAGGACAGAGAGGTGTAGATAGGCACGTGTAAACTAGCATGCAATACAAGCTGTACATCATCGAGCGAGTGCACTCACGACCTGACCGCGGGTACAGGAGGTGAGGGCTCAACGAGAATGTCTCGTGCTGCCCTCAAGCGGACGCACGACGACCATGACGTCAGCCATCACCGCAGCTCCTCGCAGTCTTGCGTTGGTTGCGTTTGCTCATGAAAGGGTATTGCCTTTATGCACTCCTTTCAAAGACTCGATGGTCGAGATGGTGCGGTGGTTCTTGTGGGTTGACATGGGTGGAGGGAGCGTGTCTCACCCCCTCGGAGCGGATGCACCATCAGGAGTTGTTAACCTTCACCTGTACATTTGGCCGCGACGAGACTGCCGCCAAGATTGAAGAGGAGGTCTAGCAGAGACTCCGATTCACAGCTGTCCAATGAGATCGCGTTCTCCGGCGCATGGAGATCGCAGGACAGTCGCCACATGTGATGCGATCACATGGCAAGCATGTTTACATGAACCCTGTGGCAACCGTGTGTCAGTTGCTACTTCAAGTTCTCAAGACACGGCAGAGGCCACTGGCACTGGCTGTTTGTGTACCCTTTCTAGCAGCGTGCCTTGCGAGGCAATGCTGTGGAACGTCATGATACGCGTACGGTCGCCGACCTTCACGCCGTTCCCTTCCTGAAGTCATGCTTGACTTCATTCAAGCAGACTCATCGCTCTGGGAGTCGTGCTTAGTACGTCCTAAGCTGGCAGACTAGCAGAAGCAGCGGCTGTGGAGTGTATCAGAGCAGAGTCTGAAAGATTCGTGAGCAAGAGTCAGATGACAAGAATCGTCAGCAAGTTGATAGCGAAGTCTTTTGAGAGAGTACAGCCCTAGCACAGCGAGCTCAACTCAGACTGGACCTACCCAGGGTAAGGGACAGCACTCAAGGCTAGGCTTAGCCTTGATCGTCAACAAAGTCAGGCAACGGCCTCTCAGAGGACTGGAGGCATACAACGGCTCTCAAGAGGTGAATGACCCCTGGTGGCCGAGAGAGAGAGAGCCTCATCAGTACGGGTGGTTTCGGCCATCACTCTTGGTAAGAAGTGGAGCAGAAGCTGATGTATAAGGATCAGCCTCTTCAGCTACAACGGTCTGTTTCTCGTCATGTTGGATGCCACGCTGATCTAGCATCGCCAGTATAATCGACATCACTGCACTTCACCTTCACGCTGATCTAGCATCGCCAGTATAATCGACATCACTGCACTTCACCTTCACGTGTGATCCAGCAGAGTTGCCTTGAGCATTCGCGGCAGACGTCAGCAACCCATAAAGCTTCGAGGTGTGACACTACGGTAGTATCAAGCTTCGCGCCTCCACCTTCGCTACCAAGGCGTATGCTTTCAGTCCTCTGAGAGGCCATTGCCTGACTTTGTTGACGATCAAGGCTAAGCCTAGCCTTGCTGTCCCTTACCTCGGGTAGGTCCAGTCTGAGTTGAGCTCGCTGTGCTAGGGACACTCTGATGCAAGGACATACTCGCCTGTGCGACTTATTGTGCAGCAGTGCGTGGTGGCAATCCTTTCAGGGAACAAGATGCAAGGGGAAGACAAGACGGAAGAGCTGGAACAGGCAAGACATGATGGACTGAGGACTTGACCATCTTTATCTGTCTAACGGCAGTTTTACAATGTCAGCAAACCGATACAGAACAGTCTGAACGCTCATTCATGGTTCCTTGAACATAGAATGAAGTGACCCTTCCTGTTGTGCATCACTGAATCATCCCACTCAAGCACGTAAATTTGCATTTTCCCCCTCTGCCTTGCAACTTACGTGATGCTGGCCTCCCATCAACAACCATGGCTGAGTCGTGCGCTGTTGCAGGGAGAGCGAGATGACCAAAACAAGTCGCATGATACAGAAACGATGACGGGGTTTTACAGTTACTGAGCGACGAGTGCACTTTCGTGGGGCAGTTTGTCGAAGGAGCAAACAGCCTGTCTTTCAGCTCTTGCTTTATTCTAACATCCTACTTTACACGTGCCTATCTACACTTCTTCTCTTCCTTTCTTTCTGTTCTCACTTGGAGTTGCTCAGCTTATCGCAGCAGGGTCTTCTCATCGCCGCCCTCCTCGATCGTCCTGCTGGCCAGCGCTTTCCTCCTCGCTGCCATCACGCTCCCCAGCACTAGCGCGCCTCCCGTCCCCGCCTTCATCGACGTCCTTCCGCCCTCTTCGGGGATGGCGGGAGAGGGCAAGAGGGCGGGGCGGGATCGGGAGGAGGAGGGTCTTGACCATGCGGAGACGTGAGCGATCTTGATGGTAGAACGGGGGGTAGGGAGTGTGGTCATGGCAGGGGTCAGGAGGGGGGGAGGGAGGACGAAGACAACGAGGCGATGAGGAGGAGGACGGGAGGATGTGGCAGTGGATGTGGTGGGGAGAGGAGAATGTCGGGGAGTACAAGTAGAGGATGAACGGGGACTTACGGGGGTTTGTTTAAAATGTTGTACGTGAAAATTGGTTCGATCGGCAGCTTTACAAGCAGCAGCCGCTTGAGGGCATGCGGGGGCGTCAGTGCAGTTACGCCTTCTTTGATTCGAATCTTCTCGACTGGTGCTGAGATTCTAGAAGAGTCGTTCAAGTTGATATCCTCTCCGCTTGTTTTGATATGTAACTTAGTAGTAAAGTTACAAGGCGGCCAACGAGGTGTAACCAATCGACGTGCTGCCTCGTCGTTTCACAACCGAGCCGCTCTCGATACAGATACATCCCTGCGCATCTCGAGACTAGTAGGCCACGGACTCCAAGGCTCGTCCCCCGATACAACTTTTTCCTCGTACCGAGCCTGCTACTTCAACCGTATCAGATTCTGTACTGTCGCCGGTCTGTGTTGGCCCCCGATGCCAGCGTCATGACAGTGGCGGGGCCCAGTGACTGCCGTGACAGGCCCGGTGACCCGCCGGCCCGGTGATCGGTCGACTCAGAAGCGCGGCTACCCGGCGGGGCCGGCGACCCGGCGTGAAGTACGCCGGAGTCCGCCAGCGCCGGGGCCCGGAGACTGTCCGCGACTCCGAGTGAGTCCCGCCGGCCTGCTCAGTAGGCTCCGAGGCTCCGAGGCTCTCTTCTCGGCGCCCGGCGTTTGCCGGGCCAGTGCGACAGGGTCAGCCGCTGAGCCTCCGACGGCGGTTGGCAAGCCCGGCCTCTCCGTCTCTCCTGACTGTCCTCGTACTGATCTTTAATTTAAGTGACTTCGCCGGAGTAAACTGCTTCGGAAGGCTAGCCGGGGCTAGTAGAGGCTAGACTAGTCGGACGGTCACTAACCGTTGAACGGTGAGTCACCTGAGTGTGACCGGATAGGGTCCACGCCGCCGGGCCGCCGGGATAGCGCCGGTATCATGGTCGCCGAGTCCGAGTCCGGAGTCCGAGTCCGACGAGTCCACTCAGTGCCGCACTGTATACAAATCCGGGTCCGGGCCCGCCCCAACTATAACCCATCGGTTTGAAGCTAGAGGTAATATTTTGAAAATCAAGTCATCAATTTGAACTGAAGTTGATTCCCCAATCCGTTGGTCTCCAGATGGGGTGATCACCCCTACCTACCTATTTCCCAACAGTTTCACGTAGAAAGTACCGGTCTTCATAGCCATATGAAACTGGTTCCAGCCGTTGATACCCCCTCAGGTCTAGTGCTAGCCAATGTCACCCACCCGTACATTGACCCCCAACATTCAGACCCCTCGTATTCAGATCCATATCGTTCTGACCGTACCCCTATTTTTGATAATTAAGTACCCACCCTCAGTGGATAAAATTGAGAACCCTTTTCGAAATTACCCCTTCTTTTCAAACTACCCCACTCAAATCCATTCCATGAGGTACCCCTTTGATCTCCATCAACACAGATCGGCTTGGACCCCTATACCAAGATTGGTACACCGGTACCCATCAAATTCCTGACCCGGTGTAGTCTACTTCACCCGTATAATTCCTTTCAAGTACCCACCCCTTGTGGTGGTCAAGAGGTACCCATCGATATTGGACCCTGAAAATGTTCCACCCCACCAACTCGATGTCGTCCACTACCCCTGGATTGTACCCCCTCAGGGAATTGGAACACGGCTCAGCCCCTGCCATGCTCTAGCCGCCTCTGCCTCCAACCAGCCCAGCAGCAGGTAGGAGTATGAGGACACGCCGTCATGTACATTCTATCCCATCATCACCATAGCAGCTCCAAGTTTCAGCTCATGAAGCTCCTACAGCTGCCTCGGCTCCTCATCGTTTCACCCGCTCAACTCCCTTTACCTCACTCTCCCACCAGCACATACATGAAGGATGCGTTCCATTTAGAATTCAAGTCTAGAATGCTGTTGGTATGCTTTTGTAGCTTCATCCTTGTTTGATGTCAACAGGCAAATTCAAAGTGTTTGCTTGTGCAAATCTTCATTCTCACAGATTTTTTTCCTGTGGACACCAACCTACTGTATGCGAGGTGTATCAATTTGTCTTTGTTGTGTGTCGTCCTGGTCTACACACTCTCAAGAGAACATTCAAGCAGTTGGAGAATCCTTGATGAAACATGATCCATGTGACTGACTACCTCCAATGCAGGATTCACAGTATTCACCAATACGAACCAGTCGAAAACAAACAACTGGATTGTAGTTCCTAACTTTGCTGTTGGTAAGGCACAGCAAAAGAAAGTAGAAGTGTCAACATGCCCCTCGTACCGCATCCTCCGTCGTCGAATCGCCCGGACCACTCTAATGTCGAAGAAGGCCCTCAAAGAATGAGCAGTGGTGGTTCAAGACAGAGAGACATCAAGTACAGTGAATACAAATTCGTTGTCTTGGGGAGCTGACGATCAAACAACTTCGCAGTTCTTTTGCTCTTGCTCAGAAAGCTGGCTTGCCTACTTTGAACTTCGTGAAGCTAAAACAAGGTGGAACGGAGAACGATGGATTCCTATCTCAACGAGGCGAAGTGCAAGGTCGCAATTCATTCACTGAAAGATGTTCTGCTCATGTGACTTGACAGGTGTTGGAGCTGGCAGCTCGAGAACTCGATCGTACGGATCAGCTTCCAATCAAACTTCTCAGGTTTGCAAAGCAGCTGAGTCTACGAATTTCCCTGGTTAAAACCTTCACCATCAGGTTGGACAACATGCCTCGTATTCATTCAAGCCTAGCTCCAATGGGTAAGGCTCCTGTCCCTTTGCATCTTCTTTGTTCGCACTTCTCAGTCAAACTTTGATGGGAAATTTTGAACGTCGGTTGGACTTTGCCTGCAGATACAAGGCAGATGTGCCGCACGTCAGAAGGGTAGTCCAGGGAGCACAGGGAGGGTTTGCTTCTGGTCTTATGCCCCACCCTCCAAGCGAGAGGGGAAGCGAGCCTTCTTCACGAGATGGAGGACGAGGGTCAAATGCAGGAAGCGATATCCCAGAAAGAAGCAAGCAGGTGGGTCTGATTGTCGTCACGTAATTCCTGGCATTGCAATGTCCTTACCGGGGGACAGGAACCCGCATATCCTCTTACTGCTCGGAACCATGCGATGGATAGCAAGGTCACTTGCTTGACGTTATGGTCTTGCATGATTGTTTTCCGCTCCAGGATGCTGCAAGCATGAACCAGGCAAAGCATAGCCAAGTGCCACAGACTGCACGTGCTGCTTTCAATGATGCGCACCAAGATGGGCACAATGTTGCACCTCAGAAGTATGACGAGGTGCGCAGTCCGATGCTGATAAACTTGTTCGTGACAATTCGGTGAAGGTTACAAAGGCAAATCCAACCGGAGGGAGCAATGTTCCTTTGACTCCAGCTGCTGCACTGAAGTTGTACATGAATTCCATGACCTTATACGAACAAGGCGAGATATTGGATTACCCTCAGGTTTACATTTGCACATGTTTTGGGATAGTAACACACTGATTCCGCTGTCGATAGGTTTACTACGTGGGCCCAAATGCACAGAAACACAAACCAACAGCTGATGCGACAGATAACCACGGTGATTTCTCGTCTTGGCGTGGCGGAACTTTGCTGAAAAGTCTGCTACAGGGTTTGACGACGATCGGGGTGATTATCTCTGGGTGATGCATGACCATGTTTCTTATCGGTGAGTAAACAAGATCAACGCAAAATGATCGGGTTGATGAGAAACTTGATCAATTGTTCCCAATTTTCTTGCTGCTTTGCGTTTCTCTTGTGTTCTGAATGCTGTTCAGGTACGAAATTCTTGGCGTACTTGGAAAAGGCTCTTTTGGCGTTGTTACCAAGTGTTACGATTGGAAAACGAATCAGCTAGTAGCATTGAAAATAATCAGAAACAAGAAAAGATTTCACCATCAGGCAAGCTTTTGATGTCTGTACAACCGAAGTTTCTCTGATGTAAAACAGGCTTTAGTGGAAGTCAAACTGCTCGAACACCTTCGTGACCATGACACAGATGGAACAGCCTCAATTGTCCATATGAAAGGTATGTATGCCTGTTTCTATAAAGCCGTCCCTGACCTTATGATTTGCGAAGATCATTTTTACTTTCGGAATCACATGTGTATAACATTCGAACTGCTCTGTATCAATCTATACGAATTCATCAAGAACAATAAGTTCCAAGGGCTATCACTCGGGCTCATTAGACGAGTTGCTGTACAAGTGAGTGATTCCTATCATGGCAAGTGGAAGTCTAAAGACTGACTCATGGTGCTAGCTTCTACTTTCCTTGAGATTTCTCCGCAAGTTGCGGGTCATTCACTGCGATCTCAAGCCGGAAAATATCTTGCTGAAAGCTCCAAACAAGTCATCGATCAAGGTGATGCGATACAAGAGGGGCACGGGCTGTGAAATGATGGGTGGATCAGGTCATTGACTTTGGATCTTCATGCTTTGAGAATGAGAGAGTGTACACATACATCCAAAGGTGACATGCGTCTGAATGAGACTGTCCCTTATTAATATCCTCTTCAGCCGCTTCTATCGATCTCCCGAAGTAATACTTGGACTTCCATATGACATGGGTGAGGCAACTTTGAGAGTTTCGGGGCATCCTGCTGACTGTCTTCCCGCCCCTTCAGCTATCGACATGTGGTCTTTCGGCTGCATTCTTGCTGAACTTTATACGGGCTATCCGATCTTCCCTGGGGTGAGACTCAAGTCGCTGACGTAGAGCTGCTGTGACTGCATTCTCAGGAGAACGAAGTAGAGCAATTGGCTTGTATAATGGAGATTCAAGGGCTGCCTCCGAGGATGATGATAGAGCAGGTTCAGACCGTCTCTCCTGTCCCCTGTGATGTTTTCGATGTGATGTATCTTCCCAGGCGTCGCGTAAGAAGATGTTTTTTGACTCCAACGGTGCTCCAAGAATCGTTCCCAACTCAAGGTCAGATAGTAAGACCTTCCTTCCAACGTCCGTTGACCCGAGGGAATAGAGGGAAGAAACGTCGTCCAGCGAGCAAGGACTTAGCCAGTGCCCTCCGATGCTCAGATCCAGCTTTTGTGAGGTAAGGACGAAGCTTTTAGTACATGGTGAGGAGCGATGGTGACATGCGACTGTCAGCTTTCTAGAAGGCTGTTTACAGTGGGACAAGAAGGATCGGTTCACGCCGGATCAAGCGCTACAGGTGGAGAGAGGAAGGGAGTCAGGCCGTGAGGATAGTGATGTTGAGTGTGGCAGCACGAGTGGATAACGGAGGCCGCAATCCCTTCGACGAGCATCAGCTACCGACGGGCAGCCAGTGAAGTTCCCTTTGACTCGCAGCCTCGAATGAGCGTGGGAGCCACTGGAGGCGTCAGTGGGTCTCTGTCGGCTCGAGGACCAGTACAAGCTTCCATGAATTCCATCAAGAGGAACTCGGAAAAGCGGCAGGTGCCTCCTTCATCCCTCCCCCTCCTGACCGTCTGGTCACCCTGCTAGCCTTGTTCTTGGCCTTTGTTTCTCTCACCAGCTCGCTTCCTGCTACTACGCTAGCTCCCGTCACCCGTTCCTCGTCCTCCTGCACTTCATCTTCTACTGCATCTTTACATCGACTCTACTTAAATTTGGCTGCTGCAGGTGGCTGCTGGGTACATGACCTTCCGAGATCGCCACCTCTTTCCTCCCATCGACCCTCTAGCGCCCAAGTCGGCCCGGGGAGTGAAGCAGGGAGGCGTGCGAGTGGGTCAGTAGGGTGGAGGAGAATCGCAGGACGGTGAAGCAGGAGGAGATTTACAGGACATTACAGCTTCGTGTGCTAGTGCCGGTCCCTTCACTCCGCTTCTTCCTGCTGCTCAACGCCTCCCCAGATCTGCCCGTGTGTGTAAGAGGAGGAAAGGGACAGAAAGCTGGTGGGGGAGGGAATATGGGGGAGGAGGAAGAGGGAAAGGGAGAGGAACCTGCGGCTCTTCCTCTGCAGGTTCATTGTCCTTGGCAAACGCCTTGTCGACGTTGGCCAGGATGCACTCGATGGAGTCAGTGATGAGAGGCCTGGACGGAGAGTGAGGAGTAGGAGGAGGAGATAAAGACCCACAAGTCTTCGAGGAGGCTTCTGAGCTGTCCTTCCCTGTTGTCCGGCAGTCAGGAGGAACGAGAGGAGGGAGGTTGTGTCTACCTCCTCTTGGGACGGAGCATAGCCGGCCCGAAGGCGACGGCGATGATCGGAGTCATGCTGCTGTCCTAAGCAAGAGAGCTCAACGCACAGAGAAGAAGGGACGAGTCACCTTGCTGATCATCACGCTCAGGAACTTGAGGAGCCGTTGAGTTGTGATCCAGCTGATGTACTTGGTTGTCAAGAACAAGAACAAAGGGAGGGGAGGGGGGGATGGGGAGGACGAAGACGTGAGATGACGAGCAAGAGGAGGAGGGAGGAGCTGTCACTTTGATCGCGGCAAGGTAGCAAAGATCGCGGAAAGCGCCTTCCCTTGGTCCTCCGCCTTGCAGGCTGCATAGAGAGTTACGAGCAAGGATGAAGGGGGGACGGAGGGCAACCAGTGACGATGTCGTTGTACTTGCTGTAGGTGAGGAGAGGCTCAGGGAGCTGAATCAACCTGCTGCAAGTTGAGATGGGGAGGAAGTACATTGAGGGGGAGCAAGGCTGAGTGGATAGGAGGAAGGGGAGGACCATAGGCGGAGGAGGGAGGCGATGACATGAACGTCTTGAGTCTCTAGAGTGACAACCGACAAGTTTGTGTCCATTGCCTGACATGTTCGTAAGTACCACAAGAAGAAACGCCGGTGAGACCTTAGCAAGCGACTTGACCTCCTCCTGATCGCCTGAGATGCTGAAAAGCTTCGCTCCTTTCTCTGCCACAGTGGAGGTCAGCTCTTCCTTCTCCTCGTAACCCTTCCTCTCCTCGTCTCGTCTCCATCTTTCCCCTCTCCTCTCCTCTCCTTCCCTCTCCTTACGTGTAGAAGGGCTGAGGTATTGCGATCTCTTCTCTAAGTCAGCAAGCATCATTTCAAGGACCACAGGAATCTGTAGGGTCGTCAACGTGCGTCCTGCGTCTCCTCCAGCCCAGCCGAAACCAGCCTACTCCCTTTACTCCTCCTGTGCCCATTCCTTCTCCTCCCTCCCTCTCCTCCTTTGCGCCTTCCATCTCTAACCTGGATCTCTGCTGGGTTTGCGCCGGAGGAGCCGCGCATGCATAGGGCGTCCAAAGGAACTCCGAAGTTCGCGTTGGAGTTGAGCAGCGACTTTGCGTTCACCTGCTCAGCTGCATCAGCCTTCGCTCCATTATCTCCCCTCCCACTCCCCTCATTCTCTCCTCTCGTTCTTCTCGCGCTTATTCCTTCGCTGCCGTCCCTCCCTCCACTCCCTTCCCCTCCCTCCTTCCCTCCCTCCATCTCCTCGCTCGCCCCTCTCCCTCCCCTCCCTCACTTTGGACAACTTGTTCGCCTGCTGGTTCGCTAACTGCCATGCGGAGTCTCGCGCCTGCATCGACGTCAGCTGAGGTCAAGTTGTTCAGGCTTCTTAAGTCACTTGCCTGAGTCAGGTGAGGCTCCGCCACCATCCTTGCCTGTGAGAACGCTTCGCTAGCAGTGTGCCCGACCTGACTGACCGTCTCCCTCATCTTTGACTGCCTTATCGTCAGCCCCTCCTGCTCCCTTCCCAACTCTCTCACTGTGTCAATGCTAGCCGCCTGCGCCTTCACTCGCTCTGCCATGGGCTTCACGTTGTCTACCGCCTGCATTCCCAGTCACGGAGCAGCAAACACGCCTGAGTCTGCACCTGCTGCGCCATCTGCTTGGCAGAGCTGAGGAAGCTGCTGAAGGAAGACATGGCGATATGCCTGGACCACCTGGCGAAGGTCAGAGGTCACGGAGACGAAGAGGACGCGAGGAGGAAGTAGAGAGCTAAATGTGAGGAAGAGAGCTGGGGGAGTATGACAAGATGCCCAGCAAGATCCAAATCAAAAAGGGCAGGTGCAGCAGATAGGAGAGCAGCTGGGGATATATATACACAAAGCGAACAGGAGGAACAAGGGGAACAGGAGGAACAAGGGGAACAGGAGCAAGAGGAGGATGAAGAAGGCGATTCGATGGAGAAAGTTGACTGGCACAAGCAAGGTCATTAGCAGCAGGAGCAGGAGCAGCAGGAGGAGCAGCAGGAGCAGCAGGAGCATCGGAAGTGGATTTTCGCTCCATTTTCGCTGGTGACGCAACTTTGGGAGATGATGGGTGACCAGAGTAGAATTTTGGTACAGCTGCAGGTACAGCTGCTGGTACCGCTGCAGAAAATCCTTCAGAAAATCCACTACAAACAGAAATAAAAAACATACATAAATAGCATTTTATACATGAAACTATACAAAAAGCTGTACCATCATTTGTTGTGAGGAATATTTTGTGATAGTATTTAAACAATAGTTTTTAAAAACTGTACGAGGGGTCCCGGATTCATGAGTTCAGTCAATAGGGTGGGTAGTAGACTATAGACGATGGAGGTAGGGTACTTTTTGACCGCAAAGCTACGTAAAAAAATGGTGAAAGGCGGGCCATTGACGGACGGGTAAGCATGAGAAGGAGGGGGAGGATCAGGCTCAGGGGTTGTGGGGAGACTCTGCGGATAGGATAAGAGTATGGCGAGAACGAGCAGAGGAGAGGGGAGAAGGACAGATGATCGCACCTGAGCGCTGAAGGGGGAAGGACGGAAAGGAGAGCAAAGAATGGGCTCGAGGCGGTTGGAAGTATCAAACAGCCGATCGCGCATGATTTGCTTGCCCTGCAGTTTCTGGAAGAAGATGCCGGCCCCTGGGAGGTTCGACAGGTCACTCCTTGCATCCCCCCCTCCTTTGAGCTGAAGGCGTTTTGTTTCCCAGGCAAACTCGAAGCTGGATCCCCTCTTGCCCTCGTTCAGGGGAGAATGTAAGGCCGCCATTGAGTCCAGACCCTGTCCTTCTCTGTGCTGATCGAACTCTAGCAGGAAGTGCCGGGAAGTCCGCAGGCTACCGACGCTGCGGCGCGGCTGGCCATGCTCTCTCCCACGATGCCGGGGAAGGTTGGGAAGAAGAGATGGAGGATGGCGGGAGATGACAAACATGTGCAGGTAGTGAAGATTTATGGGGCAGACGGTCCTTGGGTGTGGCCGCTATCAGGAAGTGTGAGTGGAGATCCCATTGGGAGGAGGGAGGAGGGGAGAGGGGAGGAGCAGGGAGCAGGGAGCAGGGAGCAGGGAGCAGGGAGCAGGGAGCAGGGAGCAGTTGATCTGAATCTGGACTCAGGAGAAGTTCAGAGATGGTATCAGAGGAAAGTTGGAGAAGGTGAAAGACGAAGAGAATCGCAGCTTCATGAGCACGGGTAAGTGACTCGAGGGACGGTTTTGTGCTAGCGCCGTACAGCACGTCGTCCTTTTCTTCTCCTCCTCTTCACTCCTCCTCTCCTCTCTTCTCGTCCTCTCCTCCCTATTTGACCCACTTGTCATGTCGCGTACTGTCGCTCCTCCCTGTTTCAATTTCACCGGTTTCAAACTCTTCCACATACTTCGAGACAACGTTCGTCCTTCGGTCTCTTTCCTCCTTATTCCTTCTTCTGCCCAGGACCGCAGAGGGCATACGAATCCTTTCTGCCAGAAAACTCGCTTGAGGATAGCTCCGTCCTCTCTACTCCCGGACATCACGCCAGTTTCCTCTCTCCTCGCAGACCGCAGACTTCCTCTTCGTCCTCGCACTCCGGCTATCACTTTCAGCGGAGATATAGCGAGCCTCGAGTGTACAAGAAGCTTTTTGGCAAGAGGTCAGCAACAACGGAGGCGATGAGGATGGTAGAAATTTTAGATGGTGAAGATAGAAATGATTTCGTGGAGAGGAGGAGGAGGAGGAGTGATTAAGATGTTAGAGAGAGTGGTGGTTGTGGTGACAATGATGATGATTTATCAGTTTGTCGAGACCAACCACAAGTTCAAGCAGCTACAAGTTCTCCCCAGCAGCTTCGAGTTGAAGAAGATAAGTTGTGAAATGTCAACAAATAAAACTAATTGAATCATCTGATATTGACTGTTTTACCCTGTCGATCCCTTCCTTTCCTTTTGTTCCCTTCCCTTCTGTCCTCTCTCTGGTCTATCCCGTCTTTTCCATTCTCTCTCTCTCTTCCTCCCCTCCCCTCTCTCCTTTCCGTTCTCTGTGTTCTTTGCTCCCCTTGAGTTGACTTTTCCTTTTCTTCCCTTCATTTCCTTTCCAAGTGTTTTTATTTCTTGTTGCTTCTTCTCAGAATCGATCATATGGCTTCTTCTGCGGGAAGTTTGGTTGTGTTGGCGGCTTGTAGCTTCCTTGCCCAATCCTGCAGCTCCGTCATACGAAGAGAAGGAGACCAAGGAGCGAGAGCAGGATGGGGAGAGGAGTGAGAATGGGAATCGGCGTAAACCATCATGATCGGGAGCGCAAGAACGGTAGGAATGACAAACAAGATAAGCACAAGGCAAGTAAAGGATGAGGAAAAAGAGCACGAAGACGGAGAGGAAGTAAAGGGTGAGAAGGAACCTTCGGATCGCTCCGCATCGAGAGCACTTGGTGTCCTTATACTCGTATGAGGAAAACCCTCACAAACACAGCATGGTCTAGACTCACCTTCCGGTAGTTGATGTGCCCATTGCACTTGTAGCTCATGCACGCCCAGTCTCCCTTGTTTCCTTCTCCTCCCCCGCCCTCCTCCCCCTTTTCCTCCTTGCGCTTGGTGAGATTCTGACTGTTGGAGGCGTTGAGGCCTCCAGAAACTTGTTGGAGCTCAGGACGAGACTGGAGCAAACAGTCATGAAGGGATGACAAGGAAGGGCAGCAATGAGATGCGGCACGATAAGGAGCAACACAAGAGTAGGCAGGAGGGTAGGAGGAGGAGGAGCGGAGAGATCGGGGATGTTGGAAGGAGAGAAAGAAGAGGAAGGGTGGAGGGGAGGGCGAGGAGGGCAGTGGAGGCGGAGTGTGGAAGACGAGCAGTGGTTACCTGCACCATGCTCCTCCATTGGTCTAGCGTCATCGCCCCTCCAACTCCGCTGGTGCTAATCGCAGGTTGCTATTACACACAATTGATGAGCACCAGAGCAATGAATAGCAGGAGCAGGAGCAGGAGCAGGAGCAGGAGCAGGAGCAGGAGCAGGAGCAGGAGCAGGAGCAGGAGCAGGAGCAGGAGCAGGAGCAGGAGCAGGAGCAGGAGCAGGAGCAGGAGCAGGGACAGTATACACACCTTCGGGGCGGGAGGAGCAGGAGATTGCTCTGAAGACTTTGCAATCTCTTGTTTCTTGCTTTGATTATCATTATGTGTTTCTCCAACAGAGCTTTTCTGTGTCACTTGACTCGATTCCTCCTGCTCTTTCTGATCTGTCTCCTCGTGGATTTTCACAGGGAGCAAGGAGTATGTCTGCGTGGGAAGTGCATGTGAATTTACTGTTGAGCCACTCTCAATTTCCTGTGGTTCATATCTGGACGTTTGCGGCATTTCCGCTAGACTCTGTGATGATAGAAATTTTTCAAAAGATTATCGTGGTGGGCTCAAACAAGAATACCTGCATCCTTGACTCGAACGAGGCTTGCTTGCTTCGATCTGACATGTTGGAAGAGTCACAGGAAAGGGGAATAGGCTGCAGGAAAAGTACCAGCAAGTTGCTCTTTCATCCTCTTCTTTTCCTTCTTGCGCTCTTTCTTCTCTTTCTTCTCCCTCCTCCGCCTTTCTTTCTTCTCCTTTTTCTCCTTCTTGGATTTTTTCTCCTTCTTGTCCTTCCCCCTCCTCTTTCTTGAATCAGTCACGTCCTGTTGAACATCATGGCGATTTTTTCTAAACATGTTCAAACAACCTCTTTCCCACTTCTTGACTGCAAGAGATCTTTTGTCCCATCCCATCCATCGAAAAGTCCGAAAGCACTCACTCCACCAAGAGGATCACCGCTTCTTCGCCTTATTCGCTCCTCGTCGCTTCGGCTGCTGCTGCTGCTGCTACGGCTGCTGCTGCTGCTGCTGCTGCTGCTGATATCTCTTCTGCTGTTGCCTGCTCTTCCCGCCCTCCTTGCGTCTCTGCTCCTGCTCCTGCTCCTGCTCCTGCTCCTGCTCCTTCTGCGCATATCCTGGACGACCGTCACGAACATTTTTAACGGAATTGTCACAAAGGTACTTGTGGTTCTCGTCCCTGAGATCGGTACATGCCGAGAAGGTATTCAGATTTGCATGCAGCAGGTAGATACTGCTTCAACAAGAGTCATCGCGCTGCAATGGACAGTGGTGCTAGCAATGATATTCAGAGCTCTTTCGGCTCCTTCCCTCCCTCCTTCCCTCCCTCCTCCTCTCTCCCTCTCCTCCCCCCCTTCTCTGTCTCTCTGTCTGTCTCTCTGTATTTCTCTGTCTCTCTCTCTCTCCTTTGATCCATGCATGTGTGCATGCATGCCGTTCTCCTTCACTCAAGCCTCCTGCTCTTCCTATTTGGTCGCATCTCTCTTCACGGTAAGTCTCATCTGGTCCGGCCCGCCGCGGCCGCCGGACCGGCGGGCGGCCCCGAGCCCCCGGTCGCGACTCGAGGCCCGGCCCGCCGGTCCCGCCGGATCACACGGTCAAGCCTGAGCTGGCGGCGGTGCTGGAAAGTCGGACGAGAACCATCAAGTTGAGTAAACTAGATCGGACTGAGCCCCTTATCCTGGACTTCCGATCGGCCCGGTGACAGTGACTGAACTGCTAAACTTAAGGCCTCCGGTGTTCTGCCTGTACTTTGAGTTAAACGGTGCGCCTGTAGTGATCACAATTTTTACTCAAAGGTAAGTTAAAAATCAGTACCAGTAGTAGTCACTGTCATCTCATCAGTCAACCCCGGTAGTTTCGGAGCTCCGAAGATCCGATCGGGACCCACCCGTGGCAGTCACAGCGGGGGGGTCAGGAGGGTCAGTAGGGGCCCGGGGTCACAAGTGACGCTTTGAGAGAGAAGAGGCCGAGAGGGTTGAGAGGTGCAACTGAAGAAAAAGAGCTCCTCACAAAAACTATGTCGATTTCAATAGATCTCTTCATTGCCAGCCGTGAAGACCTCGCGTTTTATTGCTGAATACTTAGCGATTTTCAATATTCTATTGCTCAGTGCTCAGGGTTCTTGCAATATTTTATTGCTGGGGTCTTGAAGACTTCAACAGACGTTGACGATAATAATTTCCGAGGGAGGGACACGACACGGGTGCTCCTGAAGGCTTTCGCAGGGGTTAAAAAAACATAGAGGGGGTGGGTCATCCAAAGTACAAGTGTCCTAGAGACCTCCCTACAGACAAGGTGGTAGGCATAGACGAAAGAGGTGGGTCACGGGTACATCAAATTTAACTTTAAATTAACTTTTAATCACCACCGGTAGTAATCGATTCACTTACCCTAAACCACCCCTACCCCCCGGCGTCTTCCTCCTGACTTTCCACGACCTCTTCCTCTTACCCACCCCAACGAATGACCCACCATATCTCAGGCCGCCGGGGGTACGAGAGGGTGATTGGAGACCAGATTGTAGGATGCTTGCCAGCCTTTCCTTGCTCCTGCTGTCCTGCTCCTGCTCCTGCTCCTGCTCCTGCTCCTGCTCCTGCTCCTGCTCCTGCTCCCTGCTCCCTGCTCCTGCTCCCTGCTCCCTGCTCCCTGCTCCCTGCTCC